TAGAAAGTACAGGTATTTGGGTTCAACATGTAAGAAGTAGAAAGTACAGGTATTTGGGTTCAACATGTGAGAAGTAGAAGTACAGGTATTTGTGTTCAACATGTGAGAAGTAGAAAGTACAGGTATTTGTGTTCAACATGTAAGAAGTAGAAAGTACAGGTATTTGGGTTCAACATGTAAAGAAGGGGGGGGTTCCACATGTAGAAGTAGAGTACAGGTATTTGGGTTTCAACATGTAAGAAGTAGAAAGTACAGGTATTTGGGTTCAACATGTAAGAAGTAGAAAGTACAGGTATTTGGGTTCAACATGTGAGAAGTAGAAAGTTCAGGTATTTGTGTTCAACATGTAAGAAGTAGAAAGTACAGGTATTTGAGTTCAACATGTAAGAAGTAGAAAGTACAGGTATTTGGGTTCAACATGTAAGAAGTAGAAGTACAGGTATTTGTGTTCAACATGTGAGAAGTAGAAAGTACAGGTATTTGAGTTCAACATGTGAGAAGTAGAAAGTACAGGTATTTGGGTTCAACATGTGAGAAGTAGAAGTACAGGTATTTGTGTTCAACATGTGAGAAGTAGAAAGTACAGGTATTTGGGTTCAACATGTAAGAAGTAGAAAGTACAGGTATTTGGGTTCAACATGTAAGAAGTAGAAAGTACAGGTATTTGGGTTCAACATGTAAGAAGTAGAAAGTACAGGTATTTGGGTTTCAACATGTAAGAAGTAGAAAGTACAGGTATTTGGGTTCAACATGTAAGAAGTAGAAAGTACAGGTATTTGGGTTCAACATGTGAGAAGTAGAAAGTACAGGTATTTGAGTTCAACATGTGAGAAGTAGAAAGTACAGGTATTTGTGTTCAACATGTGAGAAGTAGAAAGTACAGGTATTTGGGTTCAACATGTAAGAAGTAGAAAGTACAGGTATTTGGGTTCAACATGTAAGAAGTAGAAAGTACAGGTATTTGGGTTCAACATGTAAGAAGTAGAAAGTACAGGTATTTGGGTTCAACATGTGAGAAGTAGAAAGTTCAGGTATTTGTGTTCAACATGTGAGAAGTAGAAAGTACAGGTATTTGGGTTCAACATGTAAGAAGTAGAAAGTACAGGTATTTGGGTTCAACATGTAAGAAGTAGAAAGTACAGGTATTTGGGTTCAACATGTAAGAAGTAGAAAGTACAGGTATTTGGGTTCAACATGTAAGAAGTAGAAAGTACAGGTATTTGGGTTCAACATGTAAGAAGTAGAAAGTACAGGTATTTGGGTTCAACATGTGAGAAGTAGAAAGTTCAGGTATTTGTGTTCAACATGTTAAGAAGTAGAAAGTACAGGTATTTGGGTTCAACATGTAAGAAGTAGAAAGTACAGGTATTTGGGTTCAACATGTGAGAAGTAGAAAGTACAGGTATTTGTGTTCAACATGTAAGAAGTAGAAAGTACAGGTATTTGGGTTCAACATGTAAGAAGTAGAAAGTACAGGTATTTGGGTTCAACATGTGAGAAGTAGAAAGTACAGGTATTTGTGTTCAACATGTAAGAAGTAGAAAGTACAGGTATTTGGGTTCAACATGTAAGAAGTAGAAAGTACAGGTATTTGGGTTCAACATGTGAGAAGTAGAAAGTACAGGTATTTGTGTTCAAGATGTGAGAAGTAGAAAGTACAGGTATTTGGGTTCAACATGTAAGAAGTAGAAAGTACAGGTATTTGGGTTCAACATGTGAGAAGTAGAAAGTACAGGTATTTGTGTTCAAGATGTGAGAAGTAGAAAGTACAGGTATTTGGGTTCAACATGTAAGAAGTAGAAAGTACAGGTATTTGGGTTCAACATGTAAGAAGTAGAAAGTTCAGGTATTTGAGTTCAACATGTAATAAGTAGAAAGTACAGGTATTTGAGTTCAACATGTAAGAAGTAGAAAGTACAGGTATTTGAGTTCAACATGTAATAAGTAGAAAGTACAGGTATTTGAGTTCAACATGTAAGAAGTAGAAAGTACAGGTATTTGAGTTCAACATGTAATAAGTAGAAAGTACAGGTATTTGAGTTCAACATGTAAGAAGTAGAAAGTACAGGTATTTGGGTTCAACATGTAAGAAGTAGAAAGTACAGGTATTTGAGTTCAACATGTAAGAAGTAGAAAGTACAGGTATTTGGGTTCAACATGTAAGAAGTAGAAAGTACAGGTATTTGTGTTCAACATGTAAGAAGTAGAAAGTACAGGTATTTGAGTTCAAAATGTAAGAAGTAGAAAGTACAGGTATTTGAGTTCAACATGTAAGAAGTAGAAAGTACAGGTATTTGGGTCAACATGTGAGAAGTAGAAAGTACAGGTATTTGGGTTCAACATGTAAGAAGTAGAAAGTACAGGTATTTGGGTTCAACATGTGAGAAGTAGAAAGTACAGGTATTTGGGTTCAACATGTGAGAAGTAGAAAGTACAGGTATTTGGGTTCAACATGTGAGAAGTAGAAAGTACAGGTATTTGAGTTCAACATGTAAGAAGTAGAAAGTACAGGTATTTGAGTTCAACATGTAAGAAGTAGAAAGTACAGGTATTGGGTTCAACATGTGAGAAGTAGAAAGTACAGGTATTTGGGTTCAACATGTGAGAAGTAGAAAGTACAGGTATTTGAGTTCAACATGTAAGAAGTAGAAAGTACAGGTATTTGAGTTCAACATGTATGAAGTAGAAAGTACAGGTATTTGAGTTCAACATGTGAGAAGTAGAAAGTAAAGGTATTTGAGTTCAACATGTAAGAAGTAGAAAGTACAGGTATTTGAGTTCAACATGTAAGAAGTAGAAAGTACAGGTATTTGAGTTCAACATGTGAGAAGTAGAAAGTACAGGTATTTGAGTTCAACATGTAGAAGTAGAAAGTACAGGTCTTTGGGTTCAACATGTGAGAAGTAGAAAGTACAGGTATTTGAGTTCAACATGTGAGAAGTAGAAAGTAACAGGTATTTGAGTTCAACATGTAAAGAAGTAGAAAGTACAGGTATTTGGGTTCAACATGTGAGAAGTAGAAAGTACAGGTATTTGGGTTCAAACATGTAAGAAGTAGAAAGTACAGGTATTTGAGTTCAACATGTAAGAAGTAGAAAGTACAGGTATTTGGGTTCAACATGGTAGAAGGAATAGAAAGTACAGGTATTTGGGTTCAACATGTAAGAAGTAGAAAGTACAGGTATTGGGTTCAACATGTGAGAAGTAGAAAGTACAGGTATTTGGGTTCAACATGTAAGAAGTAGAAAGTACAGGTATTTGTGTTCAACATGTAAGAAGGCAAAGTAAAAAGTGGTCAGAAAAATAAAATACTAGTGGAGTAAAGTACTGATACCAGAAACATGTACTTAAGTAACAAAGTATTTGTACTCCACTACTTCCCACTTCTGTGATTAACCACCTGAAGATTTGTCTTACTCCTTAAGAATAAATATTACCAGAACAACACCTCTGGGTTAGGGGAGGGCGATATGGAACAAAAATCACATCTCGATATATATTTAGGCTGAATGGCAAAACACGATGTATAGCAGTTAGGAGTCAAAGCCACATTTGAGACGTCACAAACTCTGTTATTCAAGGCTCTAATTCGTCTTGTTCCTAAACTGAACTTCATGTTTTAAACCGGAGTATTGACATATCCCAAGATAACTGGAATACTTACCCTTTCGCGATCAAAAAATCCCGACAGAACAAGATTTCAGATGTGAAGACTCAAAGGGGAAACCTGAACAGTTTGATCAAATGTATGGTTTGGACTAGCTGCTGTTTGTTTTTAGATCTACAAATGATTCTGCTCTTGACCTAATATCTAATCTTTCATTATTTTCTCTTACTAAGAATTGTTCTCCTATTGCCCTCAGCTGTGTGTTTAATCCTCACTCAAGTTGAGGTGGGGTTTCTTTCTGATTTTGACGTGATGAATGCGTCCATAGTCAAATGTTCCGCTGCAGAAATGATATGCAAATGTCTTTATGTTTCCTGTTCTACATCGTTCTACTCGATCACCGTTTGCTCTCCCACTCGCAGCACAGAGACGACCTCCAAGTCAAATGTGTTAGAGAACGTTTATTTATACCTTTATTCAAATTACAGATGTTAGTAATGGATTTATTTTCTTGAATATTGACGTCATAAAATCGGATGACAGACATTCGAAGCTTGATTAGAAAACGACATACATTATAAAAAACAAAACCACAAAACCATAACACAGCCGTTAGCTGTTAGCCCTCAGAGCTCACAGCTCCTCATATCTGTTCAGAAACTAGACAAAAGTTAAACAAGTACAAACCACAGACTGCCTGTGTCATGGCGAATACAGTCGCTGCTTTATTTATGTCTGTATAGGCCGTTGTTGTGAGTGTGGACGGTCGGAGCATATGTAACGTTAGCTTAGCCAAGCTCCATTTAGAAAACACGCATTTTAAAAGGGTTTTTCGCCTGCCGTCTGTCTGCAGACTTGTCAAAGCATTAATTCATGGTTTTTACTAACCGGTATCAGTATGTTGTTACGTCGGCATCATTTAGAAACGTGTATTACAATGAAATCACGGTCAAATATGTTCATCTTGTTGTAGTTATAGCCCCCTCTCCAGCACGTCTTGTTTGAATGATGCGAGTAAACACAGCTCACAGCCGCGGCGAAACTCGAGCGTTTAGAGCGAAGCGAATATTCGCATCGCGTCCGGTGTGAACGCAAATAATATTACTGACTTTATATATTTGACTTAATGATAGAGAATAAAACATTGTTAATAAAGTTACTTCGCATGTGTGTTTGTATTTTTGAGATTATCTCCTAGTTTTTTCAGGGTCTCAAAGCGACGTATTGTGTCAAGAATAAGAAGTGTTTTATTAACCCGTGTTGTTAAAGGGTAATCCATTTGTGTGCATTTGATATTCTAGGCTTTTCTAGCTTTACTTAATTGTCTATATCTGCCTAATAAACCGGTCATTTCATGTTTATTCACATTTGTTTGTATGTTTTTCTTTCTCAGATGATTTTGAATCCAAGTTTAACTTCCACCCCATTGAAGACCTTCCACCTCCAGAGGAGTACAGGAATTTCAGCAAGGTCTACCCCAGCAAAAACAACAAGGGTACGCGCTTTTAAAACTCTTTTATTCTAAACTCCTTATACATTAATCTTTCTGTGGTGTTGGCTTCTTATGTTCTTTTATAGTGTTCTCAGATAAGTTTAGTTTATTGGACCAATACAAAAAGTGATGAAAACACAATAGAGTGGTACAGTGACGCGTCCTAAAACCCGGAAGTAAGCTCCTTCCGGTTCCTTCGACAAAAACGCAAAGCAATTTCTCCATAGGCTGAATCTAGGGAAAACTTCTCCTGTGTAGAAGTCCAAGGCACGGACCGGCGCATATCGGTCAAAGTAATCCCTAGCCATATGAACTTTGACCCTAGGAGATGGAGGACAGAGGTGGAGAAGCACAACGCGTCTACGTAAATGCACTCCCTTAGGATAGGTTGAGGGAAAGGGGGAAGAAACAGAGGTGAAAAGGCACACCTCTGTTTGAAAGATATATTAAACATGCATTATAAAATAGAAAAACCTCTGATTCCTCTAAATATATATATATACATCTATCTATCTAAAGTTACCAGTTAATTGTGCGCTTCTTTAACACCACACGTGTATTGGTTTTATCTCCAAGCAAAGGCTAGTATTTTGAACTTGTGATTGATAATGATTAATCACAGATCATTCTTTAATGGACTGACGGCACTAATCTGAGTCTCTGCTTCTGTCCTCAGGCATGATGCGAGGAGCTCCTCCTGCTCCGCCGGTCGGGAGGTGAACTCAGGACTTTAACTCGCAGTCAGCCGTGGTGAAGAAGAAGCACTCACAACACACACTAACACTAAATCCACCAGCTGAAAGCACAACACTACGACTCCTCGCCGGTCTCCTTTCTTCTGTCTTTGCACGAGGAACAGAAAACCACTCGGAGCTCAGAGGCTTCATATCATATCAGGACCGAAACTCCTCACACTTCCACGTCTGTGCATTCCTCCTTTTTTCTTTAATGGTGATTTTCATAATTCTGTTTGATTTTAATATGTTGGTGTTAGTTTTTGAAGGGGGGGGGGGGACTTAAACACTAAAATGAGAGACTTGTGAATGAATGTTTGCAGCAGAGGAAATCCCCACGAAAGCTGATAATGCCATGAATGTGTGGGACTTATGACGGTTATTTTTTTATTGGTTTTTGTTGTGTCTTTAAATAGCCATTCCAGCAGTGCCAGGTGAGGGTGCGCTTGAATTCTGTGTCAGTGTGCCAAAAGCGGGTGGAGTCAAGCGATCTGCACAGGACCGTTTCCATACATGTTCGATTTATAACTGATTTTTCTTTATTTGATTTCCTTGTTTTTCGACTAAATGCTTTAAGGGCTGAACAATGCTTTGAAAATCTGATCAAAATGCCAAAAACTCCCGACTGCAGGTTCTATATTGCAGGACGCACAATAAAAGGGTTAAATGTGAGTCAAGAATACAACTTTAAATGTTGTATTATCGAGCTCCTAAAATCAAAACATAATCATGCTTATATTTTCATTTTTTTTTAGAATAATTATGTAAAAATTATCATTCCTTCTAAAATCGCAACTGCTGCACAAGTCAACGATGATCACACACTTTTCAAATCGTTCAGCCCTACTGGAAAGCTTGCCGGAAACATCCACAGGTCGTTAGGAGAGGGGCACATCCCTGTTTCGTCTTACTTTGGTACCCCTTATTACTTTCCTTTCTTTTTGGGGGTGTCTATATTTCCATCTTCAGCCGATGTTGCACGAGCCGAGACACTGTGCATGACGCTTATTTATGCACGTATGATAACAGGAAAACCCCAGGATTCACGTGGATGTGACAAAAATCCAGAGACACTACGAGGGTTCGTCCCTGATTTGTCCCTGATGTGTTTGAGAATCACTCAGCGGAGGCCAACGCTAAATTATCTTCTCGTTTACTCGACCAAGTATGTATGATCGGAGGTGTTTATAAGGGATCATTTATCTACTTCCTGTCCAGGGGAAGTCCGTTAAAAAGCTCTGGTCTGAATCCATCATTTTACCTTTTGCTGCTGGTGGCCCTTTTGTAAGTGTGTTTGGCCAGAGAAAGATATTTAGATGAATTGCTATGCAAGGAGCAGTTTGTACAGATGGTAGTTGGTAACCAAAAAGAAAGACCGAAGCAACACTTAAGTGCCAGAGAGCTGTGGAAGCAGACAGGTTATTCACTTACTCTTTAATCTTGACTTTAAAACACTAACTACATGATTCTCAATGCTGCAGCGCCCCCTGCTGGTCATGCCTTACACCGGTCCGTTGTCACTCATGGGTACCTGTGCTTTTTGTTTGTTTTTTAGGGGGGGTAAAGATGATGACAACAAGGTAAATAAGAAACAAGTTTATTTGAAAACGCAATAAATATTGTATATTGACATTAAGGAATATGGTAATCATAGTTATTGATCTATTTTTATGTTGTAAAAAGCTTGTAATATAGGAAAGAGAAATGATTATAACAAGTCGGTGAGCTTTGGTGTGATAGTAGCACTTCTCTGGATGTTCGGCCATGAGGGTGAATGAGCTGAATGGATGTGTGCGACGATGTTTGCCAACGAGCCAACATTCTGGGGATCCGTTTGGTATGAATCCACCTGACGGGTAGTGTAGAGACGAAGACTAAACGATGTCACTACACTTCCTGTCCCGGATGTATGCTCACGTTAACGTCTCCTCACACTGTCCACGCTGAAGAGCAAAAACCCCTGTGGTCATTTCATGTTAATCAACCATGTTTTTATCATTTGAAATCATTTCAAATAAATATGGGGAAAAAGGGTAACTGATGCAAGGTGTTTTTGTGTTCTCTTCCTGCTATGATGTGTGTTTTAATGGGTCTGTCATTTGAAATGATTGGGGGGAAAACATGTAATCCTTAAATAAAGTCAAAGTGGCATTAGCACGACACAAAGATAATCAAAGACACACTGAACATCTGTTAGTGTCACTGGTATAACGTTATCTTGGATTGATTGTATGAGTTTGTGTATCTGACTCAAACTGGGCCCTACAGCTATCCGTTGCATTGGGTCGGTCATTTGGGAAATTGATCTGAAAATACAAAACTTGATTATGAATATTTAGTCACTTATCACCTCTAATTCTCACTGAGAGCATGATGTGTTAAGTGAGTTTGCTTATTCTTCATTGGAATAAATAAACACAGGGTTCGTTAAATTGCATATGCAGTATTTTACTGTTGATGGTTTGGCTGGGAGGCTGTTGAAGGAAACTAAAGCAGACTGTGCATTATATCCCTGAAATGTAGGGGAGTAAGAATAACATTGAAATGATACAGTAGCACTGCGTAATGCTAATGAAAACTAGGGATTAGTAAATGAGGGCTAAAAGTCCACAATTATAGCTTTTTGCTTTTTCTTTTAATCTTGTTTTGCTCATTTAGAACAATTGTTTTAAGGATTTTCTGAAGCAAATTCCCTTTTTGTTAATAAATAAAATAATGTATTCCTTTAGAAAACAGGTTTTACAAAGTGCTTTGTCTGACAATAGATTAGATTAATTTTATTAATCCGAATTTGGTCAATTGTTTTGTCAAAGCAGCATTAAATTAATAAAGGAACAATAAATATAAACAGATTATAACAGTTAGTAACACATTATAAAAACACAGAATAATTGTGGATAAGGCGGGAGGGTTCAGCTGAGGGTAGTCATTTACCAGGAAATTGTATTCCGCCAAAACATTTAAAACTCCCGCGAACGGTTGCTGGCCCTAATTATTCATCAATGACCCCGCCTCCGACGCTGTGACTCCAGCCAATCAGATCCGCGAAAGCCCTAAAAACCCATCTATCGATGTAAAAACCCGCGAAACTTAACGGAAGTAACGACGAGACTCCGCCCACTGTTCGTTTCTCCTCAGCCAACAGACAGCTTTCAACATGTGGACTACTCTCACAGTTTCTCTCAGGTAATAATCTTACTTATACTTTCATTTTATAACCCCAAGTAGGGGGAATACTATTGAAGAAGATGTAGTTCATTATTTAATATTTAATTCATGATTTTAGGAGGGCTCGTGTATTCTCTGCAGGAAACCTTAATATCTGCTTGTTGAACTCAGAGACTACAGGTTGAACTGCAGGGAGACTAACATGTAACCATTGCAGTACTCAAGTACAACATCTGAGTACTTTTACTCAAGTACAATATCTGAGTACTTTTACTCAAGTACAAGATCTGAGTACTTTTACTCAAGTACAAGATCTGAGTACTTTTACTCAAGTACAAGATCTGAGTACTTTTACTCAAGATGTGAGTACTTCTACTTTTACTCAAGTACAAGATCTGAGTACATTTACTCAAGATGTGAGTACTTCTACTTTTACTCAAGTACAAGATCTGAGTACTTTTACTCAAGATGTGAGTACTTCTACTTTTACTCAAGTACAATATCTGAGTACTTTTACTCAAGATCAGAGTACTTCTTCCAGCTCTAATGAAACGCTTGAGCTGAATTGATATGTTCTAACATCACTACAGTTTATGACAGATAAATGTTGAAACTAAAGCTTTTATTTTGAAGAATGTAAAAGGAGGTTCTGGATAAGCCGAGACTTCCGATTCTCCCGCGAGGGTTTGTTTCCCAAATCCTGCGCGGGAGAATCTCACCCCGGTGTTGTGCCATAGATTGAAGCCCTGTTCCCGGGGACGCGCAAACGTGACGTATTGAGCGTTCGTCTAGTTTAATAAACTTTTCTCTCTCTTTTGAATGATATATCAGATTAAACAGCAAACGGCTGAATAAATAATGTGCATACAATTGCGAGGAGGCTCGTTTTAAGGACACTTTTCAGATCTGTCACAATCTTCATATTGGAATAAACTTCCGTTTTTGAGTGTATATTCCTCCTTCCTACAGAACAGACAATGACAGGATAAGATGTGATTTGTCAGTATTGTCCTATTTCTTAAAACCTTCTCTGTTGTTTAAGTGTCTGATAACCACGAATAGTAAGCAATGATATAACAGTAATGATATCACTGTCAGACACTGTTATTTTCAAGCAAGCCTAAAAGATAATGTGTTCAAACTGGCTTCACTCGCTTTAATTGCTCCTTTGTAATTTTCCTCTGTGGTTTCCTACTCAACACATGTTTGTATTGTAATGCCACTCATATTTGATTTGTTATTGTATTTTAAGGTGACATTGAATGCTTTGAAAGGTGCCCTAAAATAAAGTGTATTATTGATCTTATATCTGTGCCTCTATCACACTATTAATGTTCCTTATTTTAGATCTGCACTGTTCTCTATAACATGTTCAGCAGAGCAGGTATTTCTCCTGCCAGATATGGCACCCCCCCTACAACTTTCTCCAGGACAGTCACAATGTCACCAAAATCACACTGGTGTTGGCTGTCCCCCTCTAGTTTATGCTCACCAAAGCATGTTACTCTGGGCCCAGCAGTTTAAAAAAAAAATACCCGGCTGAGCGACGTCACGTGTTCTTGTTTGTACCTTATTATATATTTACATAAAACGTGTTATTGTGATGTTATAAACCTGACATTGACAGTATGCGCTCTGTTCAAGTGTTTAATGTCCTACTTTGAATCGACCATAGATTATATATATAAGTTGTTGATGTTGGTCAGAGACAACATGTTTTTTTTTACTTGGTATGATGGATATAGTTACATTTTAATGATGACACGCAGTGGTGTAAAGTACATGTGTAGGTACTTGCTCTTGAGTGTTTCATTTTTTGCAACTTCTACCCCACTACAATTCAGAGGTACAAGGTGTACTTCTACCCCACTACAATTCAGAGGTACAAGGTGTACTTCTACCCCACTACAATTCAGAGGTACAAGGTGTACTTCTACCCCACTACAATTCAGAGGTACAAGGTGTACTTCTACCCCACTACAATTCAGAGGTACAAGGTGTACTTCTACCCCACTACAATTCAGAGGTACAAGGTGTACTTCTACCCCACTACAATTCAGAGGTACAAGGTGTACTTCTACCCCACTACAATTCAGAAGTACAAGGTGTACTTCTACCCCACTACAATTCAGAGGTACAAGGTGTACTTCTACCCCACTACAATTCAGAAGTACAAGGTGTACTTCTACCCCACTACAATTCAGAGGTACAAGGTGTACTTTTACTCCACTACATGTATTTAATACCTTTAGTTACTTCACATATCTGGATAAATGATGTGAAATGTAATCAAGTGTTGAATCAGACTTTAGTTCCACCTGGAGTAAATCCACCAGCTACCCTGCAGAATACAAAGTCCTTCAAACTTAGTATACTGATAATCATTATAAAACACATCATATATATTATTCTGAAATGGACCAATCTGCACAATGACTACTTTTACTGTCGCTACTTTCACTATATTTTGATGATAATACTTTTCTACTTTTACTTGAGTCACATTTTGAATGCAGGACTTTTACTGAAACAGAGTATTCCTACACTCTGGTACTTCTACTTTTACTTCAGTTCAAGATCAGAGTACTTCTCCCACCTCTAATTAAACGCTTCAGCTGAATTTATATGTTCTCTAACATCACTACAGTTTATGACGGATAACATGTTGAAACGTAAGCTTTAGTTTTGAAAGTATAACTTCCGGTTGTCAGTTCTGCCCCTTCCCTCACAATCGTTTTAACCTTTATACAATTCCTAATATATGTTGGTATTTATGACATGGAAAGTAACCAAGTATCCGTAGACATTGCTTAAAATTCAGATTCGACTTTATTAACACATGGTTCTATATGGATGCTTCTAGAAGCGGGGCTCACCACACACTACATATCACTCCGCGACGCATTACTAACGTCATCATAACAGTATATGTGCGCGGCACTGTATAGTACAACCTTTACTAAGGAAAAAAGCTATTAAAAAGACACATTGTAGTTGCTTTTTTGTTTACTTTTTTAAGGGAAAACCAGCTTTTATTTGATTATCTGTGTTTAAGAAAGGAGACCCATTTAAAATGAGATTATGACTACCCTCATTACCCTCCCCCAACGTGTTTCTCTCAAATGTGGCGCGGGAAATTGTCTCGTTCATTCAACACTGAACCGGGCTGATAGGCGACACGTTCTCTTATTTATACCTTTTTTACTTTAAGTTGTCGCTGTATTTATCTAATAATGATCCAGAAGATACTTCTCCTGACACTTTTACACCTTGTCGTGGGTAAGTTAATTTATAAAGTTACATGTCAACTCCAGTTGGTGCGGTACCGCGTGCATTGGCGTGTTGTTATTTACCTAAACTGTGTTATTATGTTATAAACCTGACATTGACAGTATACGCTCTGTTCAAGTGTTTAATGTACTACGTTGAATTTAAGAATCGACCATAGATTATATATATATATAAATTGTCGACGTTGGTCAGAGACAAAATGGGTAATGACCAATTTTTTACTTGGTATGATGGATATTTGCATTTTTTTTTAATGACACGCAGTGGTGTAAAGCACATTTACATGTCAAGTACTGTACTTTACTACAATTTGTAGCTACTTGCTCTTGAGTATTTAATTTGTTGCAACTTCTACTCCACTACAGTTCAGAGGTAAATGGTGTACTTCTACTCCACTACATGTATTTAATACCTTTAGTTACTTCACAGATGTGGATGAATGATGTGAAATATAATCAAGTGTTGAATCAGACTTTAGTTCCACCTGGAGTAAATCCACCAGCTACCCTGCAGTATACAAAGTCATTCAAACTAGCTGCACCTTTACCAGCTTTGAGAACACTTTAATGATCCATCATTATAAAACATATCATAGATATTATGATGAAATGGACCAATCTGCACAACGACTACTTTTACTGTCGCTCCATAGATTGTGTTTATGAGGTTTTTGACGTTGGTCAGAGACAAAATGGTGAATTATAGTCGCCATTACTGTGTTTTTTGCTTGGTATGTTGGATTTTGTTTCATTTGAATCATGGCACTTAACTAAACCCTTATTTGAACCCTTACTTTTATCTTTAGTTAAGAGGTGTGGTAAATAAGTACACAATAAAAGCTGCATAGTGCATCCATCACATATTCTGTTTTTACCTGTATAGACCTATATATGTGTCTAAACTCATCTGCACTGTGTACCTTTCCATGTTGTTGTTTTCCTCTTTTTCCTGTTGCTTCTCTCACTCCTGAATGTCCCTACAGGCAAAGGTTTATCTGAATTACATTAGAAGACATTACTTTACGACACAGAATATGCAATACCTGCTTTGTGCTTGTTTCACATATTCATAACAGGTGCAAAGCAAAACTCTGTAGCTGAGATGATTGAAATGCAGGAAAGAGATTGCAGCACCTGTTGTTGTTGTTGTTGTGTGTGGACTGGAGAGTGTATTATTTTGAAAAATTATTGATTCGAAAACAATATGATACAGTACTATTACGTCTGGGTCTCTGTGTTTCATTAAAGCTCGGCTCTGTGTGTGTGTGTGTGTGTGGAACGAGCCATTGTGTGTGCGTGCGCGAGAGAGAGAGAGAGCGCACCGGTACCGGAGATCGTTGATGTTAGCTTCTGGTGCTAGCGAGCTACGCTAACGGATATAAGGAGTTTTTTCAACAACAAAGTGGAGGAGAGTCCTCTCCTGTCAGACTGAGAGACTCAGTGAGCTAAAGGACTCTCTCAGTGTTATCTCAGTGGGTCTCAAACATTTTGGTCACCATTAATGTAAACAATTATTTCCGAGGCACACGTTTATATGATCATTATAGTTGTAAAAAAATAAGAGAATACATGAAAAACAGGTATGAAATACTATATGACAGTAAAAAATGTATAAAGTTTAAAAGGGTGATTTATAAAATATCCATAAAGAAAAAATAAATCTGTTTACAGTTCTGTGTTTCATCTGGGTGTTGAGAGAGGTATCCATAGATCTCTTCATTTTGCTCTCAAAGATACCAGATTGATGCTTTAACTTCAATATTTAAAAATCTTCCCGGGGGAGCTTGCCCCGGACCCCCCTATGTGAGGTCCACACACCACCTGTAAAAATAGCACGTTACCCCTGCTTACACCTATATGCCGTGAGCTGATTATCGAGCCTTCATTGTAACAGTCACAGGTACACTGTGTGTATGCGTGGGGATTGTTGCAGTAGAACATTCCTCTGTAGCGACTGGTACATTAATGGGAAACCCTAAATGTTTGAGCACCCTCTATGAAACGTCAAGCTACCCCACAGCACCCCCAAAATAAATCTCTGGCGCCGCCACTGAGCCTGACTATTTGTGTTGGGGGGGGGGGCCGACTTTTTTTTTTCTCCAAAGGGGGGACCTGACAGAAAAAGTTTGAGAACCACTGATCTAGACTATCAAAGTGGATCTCAGGACAAGAGATGGAGCTAAAGCGGGACAATATATTGATATTCAGCTGAAATTGTATTTGATCCTGTTTTTTGGCTCCTTAGTGATTATTTTTAAATGTCCAGGGCTCGACATTAAGGACTGCCCGATGGCCCGGGGCCATCTAGTATTTAGCTCGGGCAATGAAGCCTCACCTGCTGGTTGCCCGATCGGGCAATCTATTATGCCAGTATCATGCAGCTGGCGGATCCAGTAATGAGTGACCCGACAGTAAAACTAAACATATCTATAAATAGTTTAGGTAGTTTGAGAGGTAGTTAAAATAGCTACGTGTGATATTCTAACCTGAAGTGTGTGTTTTGTCCGCTCACCGCTGCAGGTTATTATGCAGAGCTGCTTGTCGACTCGTCAGCAGCAGCTGATCTCTCTCTCCCGTCAGATTAGACTTCACTCGCGTTTATGTCCATATCGATCAGATCCAGCTAGTTCTAGCTAATGATATGACTACCTGCTTATTAAAAGACACCTAAACAATAAGTGTCGCTATGCAACAGGGTGAGGCCACAAAGTATAGCGCAGCATTATGCATTTGTTTACATGCCCACCGGAACCCCGAGGCATTACCAACAGATCAACGCACAATCAACCCATACAGGACATCTTTCTCCACATTACGTGTTAGACATTAGAATTGACTATTCTTGTCTGTCACATACTTTCTTGTCTGTCACATAAGTGGCGCAACTGAAGCGGTATTGCGCTAAAGGGAAATGATTTTGACCGAAGAGATTTAGATTTGCCGGCTAACGGGAACTCTGACGTCGCCATTTTGTGTGCTTGGCGGATGCGCTCGGCTCCTCTCGACTGCTGCTCGGGTCTGCTCGGTCAGCTTCTGGATGAAGAGGCATTCGTTCGACCAACTTACAGTAGATAACATTACAAACATTTTTAACAGGGGCCATAATAGTGTAAATAATGTTTGTTTTGGCGGTTATAACTGAATGTAATGTTTTCTACTTTTTTACATCTGGGAAGGCATTTGCCTTCATCAGATGGAAAGTGTCTTGACCAACAACTTAAGTATTTCTTATAGCGATGCAGGGCATGCAAGTGAGCAAACACAAACAAGAACAAACAAACAAGTGAAATGAAGAATAAAATTGAAATTGTACAATATAATATTGTGGTGGTTCATCTTATAATTCAGTCTAGAGAATGCACCAGACAGCATCTAAGACCTGCAAAAATCTAAATGTTCTAGGGGGAGGCCCCCCAAACCCTTCGTGCGTCATTTCTTCCACGAGCATTTTTCAGGGCAATCTCCATTGGGCTCAGGGCCATCTGTAAATTAGCTTAGATGGCCCAAAAAAATCCTTAATGTCATGCACTGATGTCAGTTTCTACTGTGTCTGAGTTCGCATTCACACCAGCCGTGTTTAGTCCGGTTGAACCCTGGTGCGTTTACCCGCTGGGTTCGTTTGGGTCGGTGTGAGCGCAGTCTGAGACCTCTGCAGTGAACTAAACAACCGGACTCTGGTTCTAAAAGAGGTGGTCTCGGACCGCTGGCTAGTGCACCAAAACACAGGAGGCGTAGTATTCACGAGTCACAAGAACGTGGATGTCTTCAACATCTTTAGCGAAAGAGTGAAGCAGAACGAAGTGTTGACCAGTGCGGTGTAAAGTAGAAACAACTATCATACTAAAAACTACACATAGAAGTCAGAGCCAGCTGTCGTCGGTGAAACCTCCTCCTGACTGCAGAACGTCTCATTGTGTTGTAATGTTTATAATGTAATCATCAGTCTGCTAGAGTCAGTTGATGATATGCTCTCCAGATCAACAGCAGCATGAAAATAACCGGCTCCAAAGCTCCGGTAGAAATTGTCGGGATTTGCGTTTCCCCCCTTAATGTCTGACCAATGGCTGAACAGTATTTCCGAGCACATGACTTGTGTTTAAAGTTTATACTCGGTTTGAGTTTTGCCCGTGGGAACGCAAACCGAACCTTCTGAAAAATTAAACGATGTAATAAACTGTCTGTCTGACCAGAGAAGCGACTTTTAGGTGTGAATGCGACCTTAATGTCCGAATGTTTTACATGTTATTTTACTTGTTGTTTGGACGTGCTGTAAATCTTCAGAAGTGTAAAAGGTGTTACCTTTGTTTCCCAGCAGCGCCTCGTCCTGCCAGCCCTCAGATGATCCAGGCGGATGAAGGAGAAAACGCAACAGTCTGGTGTCGCTTCATTCGCCCTGAAGACTTCGCCCCTACAGCATTGCACTGGACCGTTAACGTCACCAAGGATGTCCTCTTCTCTCGACATAAAGGATGGATTGATCCTGACGCAGCAGATGCTCAATACACACTCAGGACTTCTGTGAACCGGGAGGACCTGGCCAGAGGAATCCTGCTGGTGAACATCTCCAATGTGACTCCGTCTGACAGCGGAAACTACGAAGGTGTCGTCATTGGAAAGCTTGCAGGCCACGACGACCCTTTGGAGTTGAACTGTTCTGTCGAACTCATCGTTGGTAAGAACTAGGGATGGGAACGATTAATCGAATATTCAAATATGAGTTATTAATTTTTTTTGTTTTTTGGGAGGGATGCCTAAGTTGATAACATTATCAAATTGAATAATTCAATGTATACGACAGAACAATCTCACTGGTCCCCGGCTTGAGCTTCAACATCAGGATCCATGTATTTGTGATCCTCTCCAGAATGGAAGTCATCACATACAGAGCATCAACTAGTTCCTGAGCAGTGTCCTTCACATGCTGATATCCAAGAGAGGGAGTTACACAGTCACAAGATGGAGGAACAGAAAGCAGTATTCAATGTTTACTTCAGATTAGCTCCATGTCAGAAATGAGCATGCAGGTGCTCTGAAGACCAGAAACCACACCATGTGACAAATACCTGAGATGATCAGCTACCAGATCAACACAGGCTAACTTAGCATGTTGGCTCCTCCTGTTACTTTATTCTCTTGTAGCAAACATACACTTTGCTAAAAGGGATAAACACAGAAGATACGTAACAACATGGTTGTTGTTTTCCTCACGTGCTTCTCAAGGCTTATTTTCTGTATTTCTGTTTAAGAGGAACATAAAGAAACTGCAGAAAAGAGAGAACCTTGTTCCCTAATAAGACCCTTTCCATTGAAACAGAGAAGGAGGAACAGAGCAAGAGCAAGGACTCGGGAGCACCTGCTCCTCCAGCTGAGGGAGATCCCGGTAAATGTCCTTTCAATATTTAACAAATGAAAGAAAATACATGTTTAACTATTAAATATTTAAATCAATGAATTTCTCCAACACATATAATGTTGGGGGGAAAACTGAACCACCTCTGATTCTGCCCTTCTTTCAACTCTCAGCTGCAGAGCAGAGGAACCATGTCCTCGGTGTCCTGATTCTTGTTGCTTTCCTTGCTGTCGTTATCGCTGTTGGGATTCTGGTGGAACGTGGAGTGATCCGTAAGTTCCTGCTCCAAAGAATTGTTTTATCAGTTTTGTGAATCTTGCTGGAACTCTGAACTTAAATGCACGTAGGGTAGGATTTCCTAAAGCCCATGTATTGATTGACTCGTACTAAATAATCCCTCAGCATCGTCTCTAGCAGTGTGCTGACCTCAGACTGACATGTTTTACATTTTGATTTCACTCTGTTTAGAGGATAGGGTTTCTAATGTTAGAATATTGTTTCTGATCAAGCGCTCCTAGTGAAGTGATCATTAACCATCACTGGAAATATCAGCGCCGAAAAACATTGAACCACAACTTCATCCAACTATCATTTCAAGATTCAAAGGCGTTATCGTCACATGCTCACAGTGGCGTTCACTGTACAAAAGTGGTGGGGCACGAAAAAACTTAGATGTGTATTATATATATATATATATATATATATATATATATATATATATAAGCTTCTGGTGCTTTTTTAAACACGTAAACAAATAGCTGGCTATCCATGGTTCCGATAGGATAGAGCAGGGGTCGGCAACCTTTTTGATATGAAGTGCCATTAAAAAAAATATATTTTATCAGCGTGCCAACGATCATGAATTATCAATTATCAAGATCGCTCTATCTAGCCCGACTAGAGAGAGAGGAAGAGAGAGATAGAGAGAGATGAAGATGAGAGAGCGAGCGAGAGAAGCGAGAAGAGAGAAGAGAGACGAGAGAGAGAGAGAGATGCAGAGAGAGATAGAGAGAGAGAGTCATGAGTAGAGAGGAGAGAGAGAGAGCGAGAGAGAGAAGCGCGAGAGTAGAGAGAGGAGAGAGCGAGAGAGAGATATAGCGGAGAGATTAGAGGAGAAGAGATGACGTAAACGTGGGAGGAAGAGAGAGAGAGGAGCATGATCGCTCTCTGATAGTAGTAGCGACTAGAGCTAGATGAGCGTCTATTCCTCTCTATCTTTCTGCTATCTATATATCATAGCTACTATAGAGTACTCTCTCTCTCTCTCTATATCTCTCTCTCTCTCTCTCTCTCTCTCTCTCTCTCTCTCTCTCTCTCTCTGACAGCATCTCATGCAGCTCACTGATCCAGTAATGAGTGACCCGACAGTGAAGAATAAATATATTTATAACTAGTTTAGTTCCAGAGGTAGATAAACTAGCTAAGTGTGTTAGGTCTAACTCTTGTGTGTGTGTGGCTCCGCTTACCGGTCCGTCTCAGCGGGTGGAGCTGCAGGATTTCTGCTTCACACACGTTGCATTCCGCTATTTTATTGTCATTTTCGGACTCCTTAAAAATCTGCCAGACCGGTGAAGCCATGTTGGCGAGCTTGTTTTGCCGCGCACAGAGAAAAGTGTCATGTATTTTACGTCATGCGATCGGCTCTCGCGATCGGCATTTTTTGAGAGCACCGATCTATCGGTCGATATCGATCGGCGGCCGATCGATCAGAGCATCCCTAACTTACATGATGCCGAATTTAACAAACACATTTAAATAATTGGTTTAAACGGCATAATAATAAGGACGATCGTCCGTTCTGTGATTCTACAGAACACACATGGCCAGTCCGCCCCTTTGTAGCATGTTATTTCGATGAGAGATGAGCAGATCGCCACTGGGCTTTCAACTAAAGACACAGCCCGCAAACACTGCGGCATTTGTACAGCTCCTTATGGGTACTGCAATTTGTGAAGTGCTCCTCCGTGGTGAAACGATCAGCACTGCACCACGGAGGAAAGCGGCAGAAAGTCGCCTGGAGTTAAAGAGAGCGGGGCTGCGTTGCGTGCATGGCTTCCTTCTAAGGCTGTGCGATTATGGCAAAAATCATAATCACGATTATTTGGTCAATAATTGATATCACGATTATTTTGACGATTATTCTTTGACCATTTATTGAACTTTAAAACAAATAATATTTTACCAATAAACAAGATCAATAAATTTGTTGGAGCGCACTTCCAAAACCATATAAACATATATTATTAATATGATAAATAAAAATAAATTAGACCAAAAATAAATGAAATCAAATATGTTGCAGTGCACTGTCACAACCTACTGAACACTCCTTCACATATAGCCAACATGTTGGTAAAACATATTCAACATATTCCAACTCAGTTAAACGTTGAAGGCTGGCCCACCGTCATGGTCCAGAAGTAACAGGAAATAAATGTTGAACTACAATTTAAGACCAAATAAAAATGTTTTGGCCACCATGGCAAATGCTGGTAGGGCTGCTCATGTCATCTCTTAAAGATTTTTTGCAAGAAACACCAGCCTGTTGACATGGTCTGGTTTCAGAGATGAGCGCAGGCAGGTGACGATATGTACTGAAGACCCTCTCTGAAGAGGAACTTGTGGCAGTGCTGCCACAGATGACACAGGACAAAAAGAAAAGACTCTGAAGAACCCTTTCTTTGCCATTATATAAAATAGTGTTGCTACAAAAGTATAAATGAGGCTTACTAATAAGACAACTCAGATCTGAAGCTACTCAGGAATCTGCTGCCAAAGTGCAATAAAAAAGACAACATTAATAGAATCAAACCCATTTTTGTAGCATTTTATTAGAGTATACAAATAAATGCCTTTAAAATAGGATGCAAGCAACACTAGTTTCTGAACTGATAGACTATAATCAATTTAAACAGAACAGATCTGAATGTTTGCATTCTTATACCATTTTGTACAATAATTATCATGAATAAATTCAAACAAACTAAAACTTACAGCAGATTAATAACGTATCTAACTTGAGTTTTTATTATATCAAAAACTTGTTGAAATGCAACTGTTATTTTTACTGTTCCCCAAAAGCTCATCGGCAGCCTCCAGGAATGCTTCTTTCACAACTTCGCCGTCTTCGAAAGACTTCATGTGTTTCGCAAGAACGTGACTGACCCGATAAGATGCTCTGGTAGCAGCCTTGCTCTTGTTGTTGGGCCTGGTGAAAATGGACTGCTGTGCATTTAGCTGTCCTTTCAGGCCCCTCCCCTTTTGGAGCGTAGGGCAGAATTAGGAGGGAGTTCCGTCTCGTTTGTGCACTGTTTTGAAATTACCCTTCTTCGATAAAGCCACGCTCGCATTGCAGATGACAGATGGAGTTTGAATTGGAATAGATACACAAATAATCATCCTCCCACTCGGAGTGAAAATTATATATTTTGGGCTTTTTTGCTTCTGCCATAATTATAGTCTTGTGTGTGCGGACTGTCACTCCTGTTGACACGGACAATGTCAGCGAAATAGTGCACTGCCCATCAGCCACGCCCCGACACATGGGGTGACGCCGGCCAATCACAAAGCTTTGATGCGTTCAAGTGCATTATTCTGGCACAGGAAGATTATGTTACTGGACATTAACGATAAAACAGAATATTGTTGTTCTATTTTTAGATACATCTCGCGATCGACTGGTTGGGCACCCCTGGGCTAGACCATAGGTCCGTTGTGGTGGCAAAGTAGTCAGCTGAAGCCACATCTCTCTCAACTTCCCCACGGCATTTGTCATATAGCGCAGGCAGCGCAGACCTGCTGAAATAATACCGAGACGGCATCGCGTAACGCTTGTCCAATGTGTTGACAAGTTGCTTAAAGCCCTGGTTGCTAACAGTGCTAACTGGGCACATATCTTTAGCGATGTGAAATGTAATGGCACCTGTAATATCTCTGTGTCTGAAAGCTCGTCGCGTAGGCCGTTGCTCTGTACAATGCGTCCTGAATCGATGACTGTGATGATGTGGTGGATGAAGTCGAGCGGGCATCTGCTTTTTGTTGTATTACTGCCCGGTCGTATTGCACGTTGTGGTTGTATTTCAGATGATTAAAGAGATTGGTTGTGTTAGCGTGTGGTGCCAACACAACCTGGTAACAAATCCTGCACTGTACTTTGTTTTGCTCCACGTCGGACTCCTGAAAGCCAAAGTACTTCTAAATAGTAGAAATAGTTGTACCCTTCTTTTTTCTGACACCTTCGCTCGTGCTGAACACGTCGCCGAGTGGGCTTTTAGGGAGGGGCGAAAGCGCACCCAGCAAATAATCGTATTTAGTCAATTATGCTGTTTTCATAATCGTCGCAAGCCGTAATCGCGATTAAAATACGATTAAAATACGATTAATTGCACAGCCCTACTTCCTTCTGCAGCTAACGGGCGCTCTGGCGGCAGTCCCGTTCAGGATCCCAAATAAAATTTCAATATTTTGCACACTTATTCCATTTATTCCTAGTGTGCCACTGATAGAGAGAGGGGGGGGGTGTCGCTCTATGCAATTCAATGGGACTCCCTGATAGTTGAACATCGACGCTAAAGGGCCCCCCACTGCGTTGAACGTGACGCCAAGGGATCCTGACATACAGGACGAGTTGGGAGGGAGAATGTGTTGGACACGGACGAGAATACTCATTTCCGGCAGCGAGCGCTGCGTGCCTAGCAACCACGTTACGATGAAAACGGCGACAAGGGAAATACTGTTTTCACGCCGAGAGATGGCGATAACTTCACATGAAGACTGGCCAATCTAAAACCTCTTTAGTAACGTAGTACATTTACATTAGCTTGACAAGAACGGAAAAAAGATTCGTATTCTCCACTAATGTCTGTTATAGTGACCAAAAGTCGTGATAGAGGCTTGCTTGTCAACATCCGGGTATTTCTGCACTGGTGGGCCAAGTTAACAACACCGTGTCACAATATCAGTCGATCCAGCAGAGCAATAGCCTGGAGGCAAAACACAGAAGATCAACAAAAGATGTGACATCAGATGAACTTACCAAAGCTGAAGTAGACGGTCAGCTTCATTCATTTTCTTTCCGTTTTACTGATTTTAATCGCTATACGCTGCTCTCTCTCGTCTCCTCTTCACATCTACACTTTTCGCGGCACACGTACTTGCAGCCAATCAGCTCTGAATTATGAGATGACGTTTGCCAGCACTTTGCCCCTATGGTGATTATTGTTTGCCGCACACATTAGAAAAACACTCTGAGCATGCGCAGTGTAGTTTTTACAGCACACGTTCACTTGGACCAGGGGTGAGGAAACCTCCGGGCCGTATATACGGACCGCGAGACCATTTGGTACGGCCCTCGAGGTCATTTATAAACACACGCAAAAATTAAAGAAATCTAGACCGCAAAATAATGAAAGTTTTGGTGGTCATGCCACAACCGTGCACGTGCGTGCATGTGCGTGCACGTGCGTGCGCGCGTCATGGTGAGATCTCTGGATTGAGAGGTTTCTTTTTCTTTGCACAGCATGAAAGAAAGGTGAAATGAATGGGCTGTGATTTTAGTTTTTTTAAGCAGAGGTCAATAATTTGTACGGCCCTCGGAGGATGTTGTAACAATTGAAATGGCCCTTGAGAGAACAAAGGTTCCCCCCCCCCTGCTGCAGACACTAATTACAGGAACGCAGACTAAAACAGCAATTTACAGACGAATCACATTAAAATATATTTTAAGATTTATTTAGCTTTTTAAAAATGATTATTTGAATGACTTTCTGCTGACACTAGGTGGCGCTGTGCCCCTGAGGACCAGTGCACTGCATGCACAGTAGCTACAGTGGAGAAAGGGCAATGCATCATATTTATATAAGACATAAAACAATACAACTAATTAAAAGATACGAATAGAGCAGGTAATGTTGCGAGACCAAAGTAATGCAGATGAAGTCAACTATATACATGTCAACAATAGATAAATGCAAGAGGCTAAATAATGAACCGAATGTTGTGGGTGACCGAGTGAATGCATGAGTCTATATACATGTAAACATAATAAGATAACAGAAGGTATAGATCAATTGTAAGATGCAAACAACTCTGTAGCTCTGTAGCAGCAGGCGCAGAAATCTGTTCTCAGATCTGTCTCAATATCATTTGAACAGATCAACAAGCTTTGTGCAAATGTGTGTCTGTGAGTGGTGGAGAGTTACAAATGGACTTACTTAAGAACATGTTGAGGTACTTTACCCGAGTGTTTTCAGTGTATGCTACTCTATACTTCTACTCCACTACATCTAAAATAATGATATTGTAGTTTTCTTCCACTACAGTTATTTGAAACTTTAGTAACTTTTCAGATTTAGATGATTGTCTAATACAAACGTATAATATGACTTAAAGTGAACAAACAGTGTCCAATATCAGAATATAAGGCAATGGCTTAGGAGAGAAACTCCCTCTGAGGGAGCACAGGGATTGTAGCCTTTGCAGACCATTTACATGCACTGAAACCTGAAGAACTGCAGGAGAGGGAGAACCCAGAGAGCAGGGCCTCAGAACACACAACCTGTCCTTATTGTATGAAGTCTCTAAAACTGTGTTTAATGTTTTCACAGGGATTTGTAAGAAAGAAGGAGAGCCGAAGACCTCAGAGGGAGATCAGCAGAGCGCTGCAGAAGAAGGCCTGGTGGGGTCAGAGGTCACAGACAGCAACAATCAACCATCACATACGGTCTATTAAAGGGTCAATCAAGGCAGAATAGACCTTTCTATATCCCCTGACAAACATAGGGCTGGGCCATCAATCAATATAACATCTGTATTGTGACAGACGAGGTATCAAGTTGGATTCGTGATATATGTGTTCTCTCTTCCATGTTTTTAAAGCAGCATTACATTGAAACATGTCATTCACAAACTAGCATTACCTGTTTTACCCACTAGGTGGTGATATCCATGTGACTTAAAGAAAATATATATATAAATCCTGCAGTTTCATCACAATAACGACATCAGAAGATATTGTGATGAATTACCCATACTGCCAGGTCCTAGAATAAACCATCTCTTTATAAGGTTTAAAATAATGATGTCCTTTTATAAGTAATTTATTAGAGACAAATCTAAACGTCCTTATATGATATGTTTCATCACTAATTGACCCAGGAGTCTTTCAGGTCACTAAACTCTTAGTTATTACATTTGGAAAAACATTCATCAGCGTTTCTGATGAGCAGAAAGAGATTGATCAATTTAATAATAACAACAATCTATTAATTGGTATCAAAATGTCTTAAATCAATCTTTCAAACATTGTTTTAAACTCCGAAAGAAGGGAAGGATATTACGAATCTTATTTTTTTTATAAAATGTTAATTTCTTTGTATTTTCTGGAAAGGGTTATTTTTGTAAAATTGGTCTTGAATTTAATTCTGAGTGGCATCAAAAGGTCTGGAATCTGACTCGTTGAATTATAAGATTGTTTCCAGAGCCTTGTTGAGTCTCTGCCACCAAGAGTTAAGACAAAAGAGGGTCCTCCACTATCAAGGGGAACCTCAGGGGTGTCCAAACTGCTGCCTGTTGTCCACTTTGAATTGTCCCTCAGCAAACTCTCAAAGTTTATTGCAATACGGCCCAAATGTGACTCAATGACTGGACATCAAACACACTGTTTCCACACATTCATGTAAATATGTCTAATATGTATATGAGTCGTTTAAATAAAGTTTTTTACTATTTACCAGAAAACTGCTTTGGACCTTTTCTCTTTGTATTTACCGGTTGTTGGATTTGTTTTGAATGTTGTCCTCCATTTGTTAATATATATTCTACCTCTATACTTATATACATATACTTCTAGCCGAAATAACACATTTTGTCGCTGGGCGCTTTACAATCTGTAAACTTATGACACTAAGATTTTCATCGTCATGACTACACTGTAGCTACGTATGACTGATACAAGCCTGAACCTTGAACCCTCGGTCCTCAGACGCTCGATCATATGAAACACTTCCTAGAATAAACATTTTAACAGGAAAGCTGAAAAGGAGGAAGTTTAAATCTTTCAGGACGGACATCAAAAAAATGTGTTCAAAATAAAAAACATTATAAAATAAACGCAATTGTATATAGATGTTGTTCCTGTTGTTGTATTGAAACCTGTTCTTTAAGTTGATCAGAGAGATGGCCCAGTTGAGTTCCTGTGACCCTGTACTTCTTTACTTCCAACAGCTTTAAAGCAGAGCTGTTTGGAGAGCTCCTCGGTTTCTAGAACAGTCTCCGAGCAGACGAACACAGAACATGCTCCTGATATCAGAGCTAACACTTTAGCACACAGGAGGACTCTCACTCTTCTCTGAAAGTCATTGTTGAGGCTTCAAAGGGGACGGATAGCACACACTACTTTATCTACTAACTATTTTAAACAATTACTTTTACTTCCCCAATTTAGACTATTGTGTCTGGGTCCATTGCATGAAATCGGTTCAAATGACAGGTTTTAATGTTGTTTTATATAATAATTCAAAGCTTTAACAAAACACTCAACCGTACGATCGACCTCTACACAGGCGGTTATTTCCCTGCACAGAGAGTCAGTGGGGGTCTGAGGTGTCACAGGGAGAGGATGTTATTCACTACGGCCATCAGTAATGTCGGGGGTACTCTCTCCCTGAAACTCGCTGTTATCCCACCTTGCCTTAAAACTGCCACTATCATTCCTGTTCCAAAGAAAGCAACCACAGACAGCCTTAATGACGACCGCCCCATTGCACTCACACCTGTGATCATGAAGTGTTTTGAGAGGCTGGTGTTACATCACATAAAGGCCTGCCTTCCCCCACCCTCGACCCACACCAGTTTGCCTACAGAGCAAATAGATCCACTGAAGACGCCGTAGCCATAGCTCTCCACTCTGCACTGAGCCACCTGGAGCATCGTGGGAGCTACGTCAGATTGCTCTTTATTGACTACAGCTCAGCGTTCAACACAACCTGGCACTGAACCCCACAAAAACCAAAGAGATCATCGTAGACTTCAGGAAGAATACTACCGACCTCGTTCCCCTCGACATTAACGGCGAGTGTGTGGAGAGGGTCCACACCTTCAAGTTCCTCGGCGTCCTCATCACCAACAAGCTTTCCTGGAAGGACAACACCACAGCTGTCATCAAGAAGGCCCAGCAGCGTCTGCACTTCCTGAGGGTGCTCAGGAAGAACAACTTGGCCACTAAGCTGCTGGTGACCTTCTACCGCTCTACCATCGAGAGCCTATTGACATACTGCATCACAGTGTGGTACGCCAGCTGCACTGAGGCCGACAGGATGAGGCTCCAGAGAGTCGTAAAAGCAGCACAGAGGATCATCGGCTGCCCTCTCCCCTCCCTGATGGACATCTACACCTCCCGCTGACATTATCAAGGACAGCTCACACCCGGCTTTCACCTGTTCAACCTGCTGCCCTCCGGCAGGCGCTACAGGTGTATCACATCCAGAACAAACAGACTCAAGACAGTTTTTTCCCAAGAGCCATCATTGCTCTTAACACCTGGAAGTCATACCTCTTAATCATCCTGCATGTGAAATAAATGTGACTCTGTACATACATACATATATATCATTATTATTATAAATACATACCTACTATTATTATTTATTACATTTTAGATTTAATTTGTTATACCCCTGGAAATAATTACTGCACTTTATTCCTTATTCTAAGTATGCTGCGTGTATTTGTTGTCTTATGTTGTGATGTTTTGAAAGGGAGAAGCATTTATTTCTCTCATTGTACCTTTAACCCCCTCATGTGCAGGCACCCAGCAGAACTGCACATCTCTTCCCTTCTCTGAAGTCTCAGTAAGCAGTGGTTAAGTTCAATAAATACATCTTCTCTAACAGTTATTGTGGACTGTATGCTTTCCAAAGCAGATAGTGAGTCTGTGCATATCACCACCCTATCAGGTCTGACCTCTTCAACCCATTGGAGCCCAATAATTGCTGCTAGTATTTCTGCTGTATAAACTGATAAGTTATTTGACACTCGTTTTGAGATTGATATTTTGAATTCTGGATATACACGCCTATCCACGCATTCTTGCTTCTTAGATCCATCTGTATACATGTTAGGTCATTGTAATACTTTTTGTTCAGATACTCGTTTTAATTCCCACTTCATTTATTTGCCACTCTTTTTTCCTTTCTATGATACTCACATCTAGATTAGCTTCTGGGGAAAAGCCATGGGGGAACACGGCTAAATGGGCTTGCTTTGGCAAACGTGATGGTCTCCACTCCATATGCCCTCGTTCTCTCCTTACTCGTCCAGCCAAACCCCACGCCCCTGGAACTTTGCATATTCCCACTCCCAATCCTGTAGTTTCTGTTTGTGATATTTTCTTCTCCACTTCCTTGTAGCCTGACCCAGTATGACAGAGCAAGTTTCTCTCTTCTGATCTCCAGAGGTGTCTCTCCTCTCGGAGTCGGCTTGACTCTGTTTGCATTCATAAAGAATGCACACATGTGTTTAATCGTTAATGTCAGATATGACTAAGTAAATACAATTGTTCCTGCTCAAGATTAGATTCAACTTTATTGTTATTGCACAGATTACAGGTACTGAGACAACGAAGTGCAGTTTAGTGCAGTTTAGCTTCTAAAAGCAGTAAAGTGAAAAGTAATGTACACAATCTCCAGAATAAAATATAGAATGAATTGAATGATGAATAACAGTGAGGGGTATGAATACACTAGATATACACAGCATCCTGTGAGCAGTATGAATAGTGTGTATGAATATGCTAAGATATATAAAGTATGAAAACGGTAAGCAGTGCAAGTATAGTATAAAATATATAGATATTAATTTCATGATGATAAATATTGTGGAACAATGATGAAAAATGTGAATGGATGTGGCGACGTAAACTGACACAAAACAACAACAACTTTTGCGGAGCCAATTGGAGAGTTTCATCAGCAGCACGTGGTAAAACCCACCAATGAGCGCTCAGCTCGAGATACCAGCGAGTCGTTTCCCATCAAGCATTTCGCTTCCGCAGCCCGTGGAGAGAAACTGCTCCGCCTCGCCGCGCCTCGCTCTCAAGGCTGCGGGCGTCTTTGTCCCGCGAAATATCAACGTCTCATGGAGTCGAGCCTCCAGAGCAAGTCGGACAAAATTACTAACCATCATGCAACGCACTAGCAAGACTGCGGCCGAAATTGCGCAGGTCTGCGTCGGTCTCGCTCGTCTCAAACAAGCCTATTGGCTGAGATAAATCCGGCCGTGCGTCACGACTCTTTAAACATCTCTGTTGCCGGAAATGCATCCGCGGAGGACCGTGGAGCATAGATATACATATGGTCGCAAGTCATGGGCGGGGATCATGGCTGTTGCGAGTACCATGAGAGGGGTCTGCCTGCAGGCCTCCACTATCAGGACAGTTCCGGTGTAGGCTCCACTGGAAGTGACGATTCACACGTTTTTTCCCCGCCCCCAGGACTCGTCTGATGAAGTTTTCAAATCACAATGGAACATTATGGAGGTGATGAGTCCGCTCACCGTGCACTTTGGGTCGGCCTTGGTCAAGCCCTTTTGACCCCCCCAGCCTGGTTCTCGTAAAAGTTGGCTTAGCCATTTTTCGCTCAAATGACACCATGGAGGAATGTAAGGGAGTTGACAGGGGACTCTGCCCGCCTCAGGAGTGCCTATTTCCGGAGATTTTTTTTACTTTTCCCCGGTTTTATTATTTTTTTATTTTGGCTATTTCACCCGGTTCCTTCTACCGGGGGACACTGCCCGGTCTCGCGTGTGTCCCCACGGCCTGTGTCCAGCTGAGAGTGGAGGTATCCTCAGACTGCCGCCTGCAGGCAGTCTCCGATGAGTACTATGGGCGTGGCATACCCAAATCGCAGCATATAAATTGCAGCCAGAGGGGGGCTGGGTGAAAGTATTTAGATTGGAGGTATCTGTCTGCAGGACATCAACTTCTCTCCTGGATTTGATGATGAATAAACTCGTACTTTTTTTGCTGTTGCTGAAAATATCTTGGGTGAGTCGCTAATTTTATCTGAGAGTCTGCAGAGTTACATTTGAATGAAGATCATACTTTTATATCATGACATCTTGACTATTGTAAGTGTCTTTTTACCTGTTCAAGCTTCTCACAATTGACCCGGAGTATTAACTGAGTTTAAGAGGTTGTGTCACTCTTTATTCTCACTTCACTGTCAGTGTCTGCCCAGGGCCCAAAATGTATTCTCCCTAATTGTCTGCCCTTGATGTAATACATTTACATAATAATTGAATAAAGTCAACTTTATTGGACTAAAATAATCAGCCCGGGACTCTCGACCGGCCCACCTCGGTACCGCCGGCCCCCACCTCGGTACCGCAAGTAAATACCGCTAGTAAATTGTCAACGGGGGGGGGGGATATTAAAAAATGTGCATGACTAAATAAATGTTTTAGTATGTTTTAATAAATGTTAACAATAAGATATGAATGAACAACAAAAATAAAATACGTTACATTTATTTGTTATTGGCTATGGTAGGTTATTGGTTATGTTCAATATTATTGATTATTAAAATGTAAACCGATCTTTTTAATATGTGTCATAGAGTTGTACCCCCTAGATCTAGTCTCTAGTCATTGTGTGCTCAAAGTGCACCAGATTGAAACATTTTACTTTAAAATGTTAGAATAAAATCTTAGAGGATAACCCCCCTAGACCAGGTAGCCTACTC